GTACCCAACATCGATTATTAGTTTTGGACTTTAAGATAAAGGGGCATAAAATAAAAAATAAAGTAAAACAATTTTCTAGGATTAAATGGGGGCATTTAAAGAATATTAACAAAAATATTTTTGGAAATAAGATTTTAGATCTTAAGATTTTGTCTGTGCATGAGGATGCTAATATTATGTGGGAAAAAGTGGCTAGTGATATTAAGAATATTGCAAAAGATGTCCTTGGAGTATCAAAGGGAAAAGCTCCCAATAGTAAAAATAGTTGGTGGTGGAATCCTAATGTGCAAGAAAAAATTAAAAATAAGAAGCTTTGTTATAAAAACTGGTTTAATTTTAAAAATTCTGATAATTGGGAAATATATAAAGTGGCTCGTAAGGATGCTAAGAAAGCAATATGCGATGCAAAGGCATTAGCTTTTAGTGATTTATATAATAGATTAGATACTAAAGAGGGAGAAAGATATATGTATAAGTTAGCCAAACAAAGAGATAGGAGTAGTAAGGATTTAGTTCAAGTGAAGTGTATTAAAGATGAAGATCAAAAAATACTTTTCTTAGAAGATGATATTCAACAAAGATGGATGAGATATTTTGCTAAACTTTTTAATGAAGATTGTGAAAATAAGATTGACTATAGTGACCTTAGCACCCTAGATGAAAATAAAGATTTATGTTTTTATCGGCGTATTAGTAAAACTGAAGTTAGAGAGGCTTTAAAGAAAATGAAGGGTGGAAAAGCTGTTGGACCTGATGATATTCCAATAGAGGTGTGGAAATGCTTAGGAGATGAAGGAATTTCATGGCTTACTAAACTTTTTAATACTATTTTGAAGACTAAAAAGATGCCAGATGAGTGGAGAATGAGTGTATTAATTCCTATTTTTAAGAATAAAGGTGATGCACAAGATTGTGCGAATTATAGAGGTATTAAGTTAATGTGTCATACTTTAAAACTATGGGAGCGAGTTATGGAGCATAGGTTGCGGCGTGATACTAATGTTTCTCAAAATCAATTTGGATTCATGCCGGGTAGGTCGACTATGGAAGCCATACATTTATTAAGAGGTTTGATGGAGAAATATAGAGAAAATAAGGAGGATCTACATATGATATTTATTGATTTAGAAAAAGCATATGATAAAGTTCCAAGAGAAGTGCTATGGAGAGTTCTTGAAAAGAAAGGAGTCAATAATGCTTATATTCAAATCATTAAAGATATGTATGCAGGAGCTATTACATGTGTTCAAACACAAGGTGGTGGATACAACTCTCTTCTTAAAGAAATTTAGAAAGAAAATACTCATTGTTCAAATTTATGTGGATGATATCATCTTTGGATCTATTGTTCAGAGTGATGGTGAAATTGATGGGGATATTATCAGCAGAATTCAAGTTGGATGGTTGAAGTGGCGGAATGCATCGGGCTTGTTATGTGATAGAAATGTACCCCTCAAACTTAAAGGAAAATTCTATAAGATGGTAGTGAGGCCTGCAATGCTTTATGGTTCCGAATGTTGGCCATTAAAAGAGAAGCATAATACTAAGTTAAGTGTGGCAGAGATGAGAATGCTCAGGTGGATGAGTGGCTTTACCCTTAGAGATAGGATACGAAATGAGCATATACGTGAAAAGGTTGGAGTAGCTCCAGTAGAAGATAAAATTAGAGAGAGTCGCCTTAGATGGTTTGGTCACATAAAACGACGGCCTTTCGATGACCCGGTTAGGAGAGTAGAGGTATTAGATTTGACTTATGTTAAGAAAGGTAGGGGTAGACCTAAAAAGACTTGGTTAGAAAATATTAGGAATGACCTTTCTTTATTAGGTTTAAATGAGAATTTGACTTTTAATAGAACACAATGGAGAAAAAGGATTCATGTAGCCGACCCCACGTAGTGGGATAAAGGCTTGATGTTGTTGTTGTTGTTGTTGTTGATGTTTAAGATAATACTTAACTCTTAACACTTCTTTCATTTCTACCCGTATGATGGTGGCTCTTTATAGACTTTGTTCCTTGGCTAAAGTATTTATCCATTAGATTTTTGCATATCCAATTAATTTCATTTTGACAAAATTAACTCGATGGTATTCATCCATCTTAGATCAATCAAATAAGTCATCAATCTAGACTAACAAGTCTAAAAACCATTTAGGGTCATTGGTACCATTATAAGTGGGAGCTTCAACTTCAACTCTTCTATAGGGATCATCAACATCATCAACATTCCTATAAAGATGATATCTTCGACGTTGATTCTTAGGGTTGGGTTGTCTCTTATTAGCCAAGTCTTCCCCTTGGTCTATCTAAAGGGCATCATCATGTAAAAGTCCATTATGATTTTGGGGAGGATGTTAAAAATTTATATTATTTTGTATATGACTCAAGATAGCTTGCATTTGATCTTTATGTTCTTGCATATGGGTTCTATTATCCTCAAATAATATTTTATTCTTAATTTCATTTTTATAGATACTAAGGTCTAAGGAATCAGCTATTAAAGTTAAGTTTCTAATTTGATATTGGAAAATTGAATTGGATGCCATACATTTTTTGTTTTAATATGAAGAAGGACATGTGTAAAAAAAGATTATAGATGGGAGAGAGAAATGAATCCAAAATATAAATGTCAAATAAAATGAATTTTTAAGTTAAAAGAACTTCTAAATAAGGTAGGGGGTACAAAGACCTCTTATGTCCCTAGTTCTCCTTAAGCAATTTAGGCCCTTTTGGCAAAGATCTTTTTAACTTCAAACATATACTAAATTTAATACAAATATTTTCATGCATGTAATTTTGAATTCAAGAAAAAAAAAATTCTTTGATCTATAAGCCTAAAGCTCTTAAGATGGAAAACAATTCAAATTTTGATAAATAAACAACTAGTTTTACGACAAGCAATTAAAACAGAAATTATAGAAGGTTATGTAAAGTTTTATGCATATCAAGGTAATGTTTAATTTTCTTAAGGTGGAGCACGCCATTATCAAGATTTTTACTCAAGATAAAAGTTTATGGCTCACACAAGGATATTGGCTAAATTTTATGGTGGAGTTCATTAATTGCATCTCATGCATACACTATAGACCTACAAAATAATGAACTACATATCCAAGCTATCAATATGAAATAAATATATCATAAAAAGAATATTTTTGACCTCAAACTTACTGGACTAACTCTCAAGCTTTTGTAGGCAATACAATTATGAAATAAATTAGGGCTCTACTAATCCTTTGCAATGCTTAGGTTTTCTTTGATATATAAAAATTATAAAATCATCACTTAATATACACAAGTATATGTGCTGAATCAAGTAATATAGTGATAGAGTAGAGTATCGATCCCATAAGAAAGATGTGCTCACTTACAAATACTAGTACTGTCTACTAAAATTATAACAATTATCCCACTCAATAAAAATGAGGTAGTGGAGATTCAATCACTTAAAAAAAATAGATAAACATAATGAATACACTATGTGGATATAATATTTTGAATTGATAAAAATATAAATAGCATATTTCATTACAAGAAAATAACATATTACTGAGAAAATTTGATAACAGAATATAATCATTTTCAAGCGGTTTTGAAATTTACTAGCTGATTTCTGCCCAGAAATTTTATGCAAGTAAAACCTGCGTAGGAAAATTTTTTCGTCGAGAAATTCACTCCCATAATACCTTTCTGGCAAAGAATGCTGCTAGAAAATATTTTCGGTGACTATCCAGTGGATAACGCCGTCGAAAAATAAAAAAAAATAATTATAAACTAAAGTCGCCAAGCTACCAACTATATGGCATACCAACTAGAGCTGTTTGCCCGCACAGCTGACCGCCCACCGGGTTGCCCTACCAGGATGCTTGCCCTCACAGCTACCTTTCTGTGCTGCCAACTTCCCTTCTGTGCTACCCGCCCGCCTGACTGCCCCGCAATGCTGCCTGCCAGCCTGTCGTGTGAAGGCCATGGGATTTGAACTATGTTCAAAATATATTCCAAATTCCCAACAAGTTTGTCAGAAGAGCAAATGTGTTAAACTGTTACTCTTTTTTAATTTAATATATTCCAAACGAAAAAAAAAGAATTAAAAAGTAATTAAAATAAAATATTAAAAATTAATAATTAATTAAATTAATAATTAATTAGACTAAGATATTAAATTAAGAATTAATTAAAATGCATTATTAAATTAATAATAAATTAAAATATGCTATAAAATTATTAATTAATTAAATTACGGATATATGAATTTTTCAAAAATTATGAAAGGTCGTCGGAAAATCAACTGGAAATTTCACTAGAAACAAATCCGTCGGAAAATCTGCCGAAAAATCAATTTGAAATATTTCATCATAAACCGCCAGAAAATAGTCCGCCGAAAATCCACCGAAAATCCGCCGATAATGACGATTTTCCTATAGTGTTTTTTCTAATGATTCACTTTTAATTGTGATGTTATTCAAAACATATGCATCCCTACATATCTGTCCAGCTTGTAGGAACAAAGGATGTATTTCTTCTTAAGAATTTAGTACATTTCATATTCTATGCCTAAGCATGACACATACTAATTCAATATTCCTAGTTCTACTATCTTCCCTATATCGAGGCCCTGCATTACACCTAATTTTAACTACATTTATAGCCCATTATATGTATCACTGAAGATCTTCTAATATTGAAAATATATTTTTAATCATTTACGAAATAAGAGAATTCATTAATACTACAAATTATACTTACGTCATCATTCCAAAATAAGAGAATATAGCGAGACATGGAGTATAACTGAAGTAAACTCATTTTTATTGATATCATGATATAAAAAAAAAAAATACAAGAGATAGATATCACCAAAAGGGTTAAATAGATATCTTTTACACTCCCCTTTACTTACAGATTTGTTTCCCCAAACACAAGTCAAACACTCTAATAATGGTATCATATTATTCACTAAATTCTCTTAGTTGTCACCTTAAGGGAGTTTCAGAGAAGCTCATTGAATTGGATTGAAATTAAATAAATGATTGAACCTCTTACAAATATAACACAATTACTATTTATAAAAAAACACAAAATAGACGTTTGGCACTATAAAGATCAATACCGCTGAGCCCAATAAATGAACTAATGCTGCTGCATTATTTTTCTGGTGCCGTTGCGGCGCTTGCTGATGTGGATCAATTCCTTAGTGAACAGTCACGTCACTTCACTGATAGATCGTGTCCTTGAAAAGTTATAACTACTACGCTGCGGCATTAATGACTTTTAAAAGCTCAGCGTTGTGAGGGCAATTTGGGCGCTGAGGCGCTATGGATTATGACACAACACCACTATGCAATAGAGAACTCAGCATCACGAAGTTGATATTTGACCATTGTGGTGCTGCAAAGTTGATATTTTGGCGCTTCGACGGTGGCTTTGATGGCACTGTGGCGTTATTTGTTGGCACCATGACGCCATGTAAAACATAAATTTTATACATTTTCTTTATTTTCTTACACATTACAACTAAAACAATACATTTTAACTAAAAATATAACACTTAAAATAACACATTATTTACACTTATGAGTCCACCATAAAAAATGTTTTCTTAGTTATCTAGAAGTTCCTAGAGGCTTCTTCCCATATTCACTCTAATTCCAAATATGATGATGGTGAGTAGCTTTTTGGTGAGATTAAAGGCTATAAAATGCTATAAAATTTTTGTTCGATATTTAGATAAGTATTTTGAAATTTATGATGGAATGATCATGGTTTAGAAGAGCATATTAGTAGAAATACCAAGATTATTCTAGTTCGGGCCGGTTTTGGCTAACTAGAAGATCACATTAGAGAGTGACATTTATGTGAGAAAATTGCTATAAATATGCTAGAAGGTTAGCTAGTGATGTGAACGTGTGACTGAGAATTGTTGGTAGAGTTTGTTGTAGTTTGAGAGGATGTTGAAGTATGAGGAAATAGACTAAGTCCAAGTAATCCTTATTTGGGCTAATGGCTATAAGAAATTTTTTAGAATAGTTTTACAATTTGATTGCTTGTTTATTTATCTTAGAAGATGCTTATTAAGTGGAGGAAGAGTTGTGAAAAATATAATTTTATTTTAAAAATAAAATATTTATAATATCCACAACAGTTTTTTAAAAAAATATATTTTTTTATGCAGAATATTGCAGTCATCCCAAATAGACCCTTAGAACTCGACAAATTACAATCATAACATCTTATGTCCACACGACAACAAACACACTCGAATCTCTGAAAACAATATAACAAGTTGCATGTAGTCATGGAACGTATTGGTGTTGTAGTCTACAAGCTGGAACAACCCCGCTTACCATTAGACCACTAAATGCAAACAGCTTGTAACAGAGTATTTGATGTAACGAGAAGGATTACAAACTGAGAAATCTACAATAGTGACAACTGTAGAGCAACATGTAACTCAACTTGATCTATTAGTTGTGTTTTGGCAACTAATCAAAAGAGTTTGGATTCCGTCATATATATATATATATGATGTGTATATGAATTTAATCCATTTTAATAACTGAACCTTACAAAATTACTCGCAATGATCACTTAGGTACTAAATTGAATATTCTGAAATCACATGAGCCACATACAAATAGTCGATGAACTACTTTAATTTTTTTTTCCTTTGACAATAATATGATTTACTAATACTAGTCAAGAAAGAAAGGAGATACATTAGGGACTTACTGAGTTCACCGGACATTTGAAGTCCGCAAAAGATTTTATTTGAGAAAAAATTTATTTTTCTAACTTTTCCTTTTAGAGAGCTACAGCTTATTTTTTATCAGAAATTTCTACATAAAAAATAATTTTTTACAACTATATAGTAATAAGAAAATTACTATCCAACTTTTTTCGGAAGGATAGATATCTACTAGACTCACAATAGCTTTAAAAAGATATAATTTTAATATAACGACAGTTATTTTTATAGACAACTACAGCTACCTAAATGAAGCTTACATGTAGATTGTTACCTCGGGCGAGTTTGTAGATAGAGAGAAGATTGTGAGATATATGAGGAGCATGTAAAAGATTAGGTAATAGCAGCTTACATGTAGGAGTTGGAAGAAGATCATGACCTGTGTGATGAATAGGTGTGAGATGTGACGAAGCCTTTGAGTCAAGAAGCCATTCGTTTGGAGGCGTTGAGGAGGACATGAATGCCTTTGGAGTAGAGCTGGTAGACGTTGGGTTGTAGTTGATGTTCATATGGTACCAACAGTTATTTGCAGTATGTCTTCTATTGTTGCAGATTTGACAAATGGTAGGTGTAGACGAGATGCAACTGGGAGGAGGATTACGAGAGTCTTTGTTGGTAGAGTTTTGGTAGAAGCATGAACGACCACGAGTATCTCTAGTGTTGCGAGTAGTATAGAGAGTTTGGGAGGGATTAGGAGAGGATTGGATTTTGGCAGAGTATGTTGTAAGGTTGATCTCTTCACTGATGAGCATAAAATAGAAGTCGTTAAGAGCAATGGGCGTAAGTTTGGTCCGGATTGAGATTTTGAATAATTGATATTGGGGAGGGAAACCATTGAGGGTGTATAGTATGACATCTTTAGGGTTGATGATAGAGCTAGCAGCTGAAATGTTGTCTACCAAGATTTTGATGTCAGTGTGATATTGAGTCAATTAAGGTCTTCATGAAAATGTTGTGAAGATCATTCTTGAGATGAATGACACAAGAACGATTTGTGGCTTGAAGGTCACTACAGGAAAAACACGCGAATACCGTCGGATGTTCCGGCGGAATTTTTTACGTCGGTCAATACGGCGTTTATACCGGCGCATCATGCGAAGGAATAATAACGGCATTCTTTCTGGCGCATCCGGCGATGGAAACTTCCCGACGTCCCATGCGCCCGTGATAACGTCGAAAATTAGCAGCATTTCATTATTACCGGCGGACTTTACGGCGGATTAGGTCCGACGCAGTTACCGACGGATAATACGTCGACTATTTTAAACTCAACGACTTGGAACTGACGAACTAGGCGCTGGAAAACGTTTCGGTGTCCAAGACGCCGGAAAATCCGCCGCCGAAAGCCCTATTTCTGAACAAACCCCGTCTGGCTGCTCATTTCATTCTGTCATTTCTCTTGCATCTCCGGTCTCTCTCGTCGCCCCAGCATCGCCCACCTTAGATCGTCGTCGCCGAGCTTTGTAGACATTCACGTGACGTCGCCAACGATCACCGCCTTCGTCGCCGGCGAAAGGAGACTGGTTTCGCAAAATTCGACCGTCAGTTTTCGCCGCCTCTCGATTTTCCGCCGCCTTTCGATTGTAAGATTTTTTTCTTCATGTTATTTCTTATTAGACATTTGTTAGAGGATGCACATATTATTTGCTAGAGGATGCACATATTATTAGATGTTTTTTGTTGATAAATTTTTCAAAATCAATTTGGATTCATGCCAGGTAGGTTTATTATGGAAGTCAAACATTTATTGAGAGGTTTGATGGAGAAATATAGAGAGAATAAGGAGGATCTACATATGATATTTGTTGATTTAGAGAAAGCATATGATAAAGTTCCAAGAGGAGTGCTATTGAGAGTTCTTACAAAAAAAAAGAGTTAATAACGCTTATATTCAAATCATTAAAAATATGTATGCATTAGCTATTACTTGTGTTAAAACACAAGGTGGTTTGACAAAGTAATTTCTTATTTCGGTTGGATTACATTAAGGATAAGCCTTAAGTCCATATCTTTTTACTTTAGTCGTAGATGTTCTCATTAGACATTTACAAAAGGATATACATTGGTGTATGTTTTTTGTTGATGATATTCTTCTTGTTGATAAGACTAGAGATGGAGTTGAAGGCAAACTTGAATTATGGAGGTCAACCTTATAGTCTAAAGGTTTTCCCTTAAGTTTGAAGGAGACTTTTCTACCGCACAACAAGCTCGACGCAGTACAAAATATCCCCATCTATTTCACCATCACTTGAATTTTACTGTTAATATCTCCATATATTAAGTTTTAGATCTACTTACACGAAAATCTTTATACTCTAAAGTTGACCTCCATAATTCGAGTTTACCTTCAAGTCCCTCTCACTAGGTCTATACGATGAGAATATAAAATTAAGAAAGTGAGAGAGGGAATGAGATCGAGCAAGAAAAGCCTATGTATGTAACTATATGTGTTTAATAATTTTTATTTTTAGTTTAATTATATATATTTATATTCTACTTTCACCGGTGACATTTATGAGTGAGCCAGATTTCATTGCAGGTGTGGAAATGTTGGATACATGGAAGAATAGAGGTAGTAAGAGTAGAGCAGAGTGCCGCTGCCAAGTTTTGATCTATTAGGAGCCATTAAATATAAGTCGGGTTGGGGATAAAGCTTGAGTTAGAAGCAGAAATGGTGGAAGGTGGAATTCCTACAATGCTGAGCAGAAACTTGGAGAAGCCGTTAGTTGTGAAGAGCTTCAGAATTTGGGATTTCCATATAGAAGAAGTGTCGTTGGAGAATTGTGTTGGGATAATGGCTTTAAGGTTATAGAGAACAAACTTCAAGGAAGCTAGAATATGAGGATCTGAAGGGGATGAAGATGGAACAACTTCACCAAATTGGGAGGACGACTGGTCCATTGTTGAAGCTTATAAAGCTTTGATACCATAAAGAACTAATATAAGGGTATCATAGCTGTGGATGAGTAAAAGTTCATTGATTGTATTTCCTGAGTAGGAATGTGAATATATAAATTTACAGGTGGTGGTGTTACCCTAATGATGCCACCCACAATTGTGGGTCCCATTACTCCAATTAAGTCCAAATTTGAAAAGGAGGGGGCAACCAAGGCTTAGGAGGGAAATTTAATTAGGAAAGTTTATGTATTATTATTATTATTATTATTATTATTATTATTATTATTATTATTATTATTATTATTATTATTATTATTATTATTATTATTATTATTATTATTATTATTATTATTATTATTATTATTATTATTATTATTATTATTATTATTATTATTATTATTATTATTATTATTATTATTATTATTATTATTATTATTATTATTATTATTATTATTATTATTATTATTATTATTATTATTATTATTATTATTATTTAAGGAAAGTTTATGTATTAAGTGGCATAAGATGTTTAGGGTTAGGGATCCTTGATTTGTTTTCTATTGGGGTTCTTTGATGACTTGGGCTCTAGACTATCTTGTCTAGAGATTTGGGAGAGACGATCCTCCTCTCGAATTGAGCATCTATTGTATCTTATTTTCGTTCTTGTTTGGCTTTGATTTTCGTACCACAATCTATCATTTTGGTGATGATTTCACACTGTTTTCCACCAATTGGTGATAGTTTGCTTGCAAACTCAAGTATTACCCTTAGGGTTACTTGCAAACTCAAGTATTTCCTATCATAGACGTGCTTTCACATTACACGTGTAAGATAGATATTGCTTTTGGTTGTTAGAATTATGTGATGTAAATTGCCTTGTGCTACTCCATGAAGTGTGCTCATTATCAGTCACTATTAGGGCTTCAATAGTACTAGATTGGTTTATCAGACATTTATGAAGGTTCTCATAAGAGTAACAGACCTCGCCTTGGACTCAGGTGACATGCAATTTTTGTCATCCCAAGCCCGCGAAGGACAGTTATAGCCGCCCTAATCTGAAAAGCTAAAGTTTTAGAACTAAGGAAGTGTTGATCAAGTGGAAAAACCTCCCTGACTACCATGCCATATGGGAGCCATATGAGAGGATGAAACATCAGTTCCCTTGTTTTCACCTTGAGGACAAGGTGATTCTTCGGGAGAAGGTATTGATAGGCCGGTTCCTCTTGAACGGCCCAACCAGCTCGTCCAGGGCCGGTTCGCGTATATAGGAGGCGGGCTAGTCCCACCTCCCCTAATGATGCTGCCCGCAATAGTTGGTCCCATTACTCCAATTAAGTTCAAATTTGAAAAGGAGGGGGCGACTAGGGCTTCAGAGGGAAATTTGAATAGGAAAGTTTATGTATTAAGTAGCATGAGATGTTTAGGGTTAGGGATGCTTGATTTGTTTTCTATTAAGGTTGTTTGGCGACATGGGCTCTAAACTATCTTGTCTAGAGATTTGGGAGAGACGATCCTCCTCTCGAATTGAGAATCTCTTGTATCTTGTTTTCGTGCTTGTTTGGCTTTGATTTTCTTACCGCAATCTATCATTTTGGGGTTGATTTCACCCAGATTTCACCCAGCTTGAGCAATTGGTGATAGGTTTGCATGTGAACTCAAGTATTACCCTTAGGGTTACTTGCGAACTCAAGTATTTCATATCATAGATGTGCTTTCACTTTACACATGTAAGATAGATATTGCTTTTGGTTGTTAGAATTATGTGGTGTAAATTTCCTTGTGCTGCTCCTCCTGAGGTGTGCTCATTATCAGTCATTATCAGGGTTTCACTAGTACTAGATTGGTTTATCAGACATTTATGCAGGTTCTCATAAGAGTAACGGACCTCGCCTTGGACACATCAGGTCTTATGCAGTTTTTGTCATCCCAAGCCCGCAAAGGACAGCTACAGCCGCCCTAATATGAAAAGCTAAAGTTTCAGAACCAAATAAGTTCTGATGTCTTCGATTGTGCAATCGTTCACATCAACATAAGCATTATATCGATCATTGCTTAGTAGAGTAGAGTGAAGCAACATTAGATTAAAGCAACAGAAGTCATCAAATGCCAAAAAATTAATATAAAATGATTTAAATTGAGAACAGCTAATCTAAGACTGCTAAAAAGTTGGTTGATAACAGCTAATCTAAGACTGTTATTCGTACGCACTTTTTTAGGGTTCTTTTTGGTTTCAATATTTGATTTAGGAACCTCCCTTCAACCGACAAAGTATTTTTCCACGTTTCGGTAAGTATTAAGGAGCCCAACTCATAGCCCAAATAAGAATCGATGGATTCAGGACATATGAGGATGCCGCCACGTTTCAGAAAGTATTTTTCCAACAAAATCATCTAGCAATGATTGAAGGCTAAAATTAGTCCACTTGTTTTAAATTACTGTCTTCCTTTTGGGGCTATAAACAAGCCACATATAGCCATTGTTGAACACTAAAATCATACCTAATACAAAGAGAAGCAGCTCCAATGGTAACTGGAACCAACTCAATGCGACAAACAGAGTATTAAGCAGAAACTGCTCACATTCATATCAATCTTTTACCAAGATGAAAGCAAGAAAAGAAGTTTCATAGGTGCATTCACCCTTTTATCATATAAAGGCTCAAGCTTTCTGCATTACTTTGGAACAAGTGCAGATTTAAGCTACTTTTATAAACTATATTCTTCAATCAATGCACGTCTAGTTGCTCAAGCTAGGGGAACTCTTAAAGAAGAAACTGGTCATAACTCTGATCAAATTGGCATCACGGTTCAAATAGAGTTGCTTATTAAAGTAAACAATTTTCTTAAATAACTCTAGAGTTAAACCAAAGAAATTTTTGGCCAAGTTCTATGGTTAATGTCTTTTCTAGCTCAAGCAAAATGACAATAAATCATTAAACAAAACAGTTGACAATTCTTTGCCTTTATTTTTGTCTATGATACTCCCCACCATCACTTCTAGATCACTATAAATCACAATTGAACAACGGGTGTTCAAAGAAGGCCGATACTATGGATGGATAGCGTGAATAATAATATAATTGATCCATGAGGTTCCAGTCAGTGCTGGTTATGGGGTTTGATGGCTCAACATCATCTTGCTTCAGACTTATTTTTTAATCTAATAATTGATTATAGCTCTTGATATTGGTTAGACAAATAGTTTATAAATAGGCCTCAATAATGTTGCTAATCAAACATACATGTATTCCCACCAGCACAAGAAGTACCATTGAAAGATCAGGAAATCATTTTGTCCCTTCTTGAAGATACTACTTCAATATGAAGTCTTTCTTTTGTTTAGAACTTTAGAATTGTTTGCCAACGGAGTGACTATAATTGTCTTAGTTTGGATCCACTGCAACTATCATAGCAATTGTATGTTGTGTTTCCATTCTAATCGTATAAATCACTTTAAGTGGATGTGATTAACTCCATAAAAATTGGAGTGGTTATAAAAAACATGGTGGAATCAATCCTAAGCACCAAAAGTAAATTGCATGAGCCATATGAGAGCACAGTGCAATAACCAAGGTAACTGAAGAGAAGCCAAATCACATGTTCTTATGATCTTTTTTTCTAGAGACACTTGAGTGCTCAAAACTGGTTGCATCGTCATTTCAGATGCAAAGGTAACTACAAGAAAAAAGAATTAGCTCAATGAATAAAATCCCCACACAAATGTAAATAATGTTGAAGAGAAACTACGAGACCACAAAATCAATGTCACTAAACCACCTAAGTAATTTAATCAGCCATAATTTTCAATTTCAATACATTTTAAACTTTAAGTAGTACCTAATAAAAGAGACAAGCAAATTATAAGTAGCAGTCACACTAAGTTGACACAAAATAATATCTCATGAAGTCTCACAGGAAAAAAGGAAAAAGATAGGGACCAACATGGTCTTCCGGCTCTTTGTAAATGATCAAAATTGTCCCCGGCTATTTAAAAGTCCTGTTAAAATAGGAACCTAAATCATCGAACGGAAGGACCAATTTGTCCCTATTAAAAAATTCAAGGAACTAAATTGATACTTTTTATATAGTCAGAGATTATTTTGGGCCATAAGAAAAAATTAGGATGCTAATTCAATCCGATTCTCAAAAAAGAAATTCAAACCCGTCTTTACAAAGGCCTTGCTCAGCCCTCAAATTTAAAAAAAAAAAAAAAAAATTTAAATATTTCCAATGACCATCTCTTCAAAAATCAAGTCATCGTCCAAAGCAAAGTATTAGCTTTAAGCTGGAAGCATCTGAATTAGTATTTCTCAGTACCTCAAAAATTTTCAGAACTGTCATCTAATTGCTTATCATCTCCTATATCCACTTCCAGAACTTCCTGATTTAATCACCATATGTATCACCATCATTTCAACCATGAAACTGAAAGTCTAATTGTATTTAAGATAACCTCACTGCAAACAACATACCGGAATCCGATTCTTGAGATAATTAGCCAACCTTGCCAGAACTGTTTCTCTCTTGTGCCAAAACCGGCCCTGAAGCCTTAGCTTCACAAAAGGACCATCCAATTCAGCAAGATGAACCTCCCCTAAAATGCAATTCTATCATTAAAACAATTTGAGAAAGCTAAAAGTAGAAAGAAGCTCAGCATAATAATTACCAGTTATGCCCACTGATGCGTCAAAGATCTGGGCAAACTGAACATGAAGAAAAATTCAATCAAATGAATCATTCAATAGCAATGACATCAACTAGGTTACTGAACAAATTGTAACTGTGCAAAAGATGAAGACTTTGGTTGAACTAGCAAATTCCTAATAACATGTGAACTGATCAAAAGTCGTCACTAGAATACGAACTCCATCTCCTTTATCAACTAAAAATATACAAAATCAAGAAAAAAATTTTGCAACTAACAATTTATTTACACAACTTACCTCTGATTTAGCGTCTATCAGAACTTGTTTGACGTTATCCTCGTTTAGATCAAGATGTGGCAGAGCAGCGGTAATGGCCGGTAAATACAAGCGCCGACGAAATGAACTCAATCTCCGGCATCGCAGGTGAATTCGGTTTACAGTTAGGGTTTGGAAAGTAGGGATTTTGACAAGAGAGGCAGAGAAATTGAGAGAGTGGGGGGAGAGAGAGTGGGTACGTAAAGCCATTTTGTGGTTGATGTTTTGAATGACTTGAAATATTTCTGTTCTCCAATCTTATCGCAAGTATTATGGGGTGGGCTAATTTTTTTAGGAGCTTAATTAATATTTAATTAAGGAGACGGAGCTTAGCTAAAATTTATTTAGTTAAAAAAAAGTAAATACGAAAATTTTTTTTAAAATTTTTTCCAATACTTAAAATTTTGCCGTATTCAAAAAATACAAGAAATAATTTCTTATATCCAAAATATGAACAAAATTTAATTTATTCCATTAAAAATTTTATTCAAGTTTCAATAAATTTTAATAACAATAATTATAATTATATATATAATCTTGATGTGGCACTAATCTCGAGGCCAAATTAAGCCTGAAACTTCTGAAATTAAATTCGAGACCATCCAAAATTATGATTTCAGCAAACTTATAGTCGAACGAAATGCCTCGAAAAGACAAACCCAACGAAATCAAATTCGACCAAAATCAAGTCCAAATGGGTCCAAATCTGAGACCCGAAGTGCATTTGAAATGTACAAATCATAAATTTGATGACCAAACAGTTTCCAAATGTGACATGCTTATAGTCGAATTGAGCGGCTTGGTGAGACAAATCGGAGTATAAGATCAAAAAAAAATTTACATTATTAAGGCATTCAAATATCTGGTAAACTATCCATAATTAAGGGGATTAATATCGGTCATCCATTCAAACCACTCCCAACATACAATTGATCTACCTCCTATTTACTGGCAATGCCGCTCTCAAAAAATTATAAATAGACCACTCATTCCTCATGGAAAGGTGAAGGAAGCAAGAATGGACCAGAGAAGGAAGCAAGAAAGAGAAGGAAAAGAGAGAAACTAGAGTTATTTTGCCACTAGACTCCTCGACCACCATCGAAACACCAAATGTTGCCAGACTATCACCAGGCTTCAGCCTGGCCACCCACTGATGACAAACTTCTAGCCAGCCACCAACTGACGCAGGACTTATACTCGGCCCCCGACTGACGTCGAACTCTTACTCGGTGTTGACCTTGTTTTTCTCCCAACTCTAGGTCAAAGGAGCTGACTTGGTCAAATTGACCAAGCTAGGCCCCAAGACCACCTTCTTTGGGTTTCATGGGGTAAACTAGGTCTTATGAGCCTAGACCCGGGCCTTGGGTCAACCCAGTTGACCAGGTTAAACCAAATTGACCCAAATGCTCATTATTTGATTTTGAATCAAATTCAAACTTCTTTTGATCAATCTCAAACCCTCTTTGGGTTCCATGGGTCAGACCAAGTCCTTTGGAGCTCTCATACCCTTGCCCTGGGTCAACTTGGTTGACCCAATTAGCCTAAATGGGTCTATTCAAGTTCTAATCCCATTCAAACTCATCTTATGTTCAAACCTTTCATCTCTTGGACTTAATTGACCAAGTTGACCAAGTCAAATATTGACTTGGTCAACCTAAGCTTTAAATAGGTCAAATTGACCTATTTAGGTCAAATTAAGGCCCCTTAAATGCATTTAAAGCCCTTTTAATGTTCCCCTCATTCAAATTCCATCCAAATCATCTCACATCCCTCTTAATTATCCCTAGAATAGATCTAAGCCGTTAGATCGAAGCTTAGGCTTATAAATAGGGAGTTTAGGGTTTGTGTGAGGGATTTTTTTTGAGTTTTTTTCTCTCTCAATACCTCCAAAAGCTTTGAGATTTTGTGTGATAATTCCTTCCCCCTTCCCTCTTCTTTTTCAACCAAAATCCATTGCCAAAAGCTCACCGACGGCAATCCTCCGGCAAACCCGAGGTGATTTCTCTTCCAAGGCGTCTCCCTTTCGATCTAAGGTGAATCAAGGCTCAGTATCAACTAGGAACTTATATGAGGATAGCCTACAAGCTCAATCATGCCAAGAAATCGAAGATCTAATTATGAAAACTCCTTAAAACCCTTTTGTGCAAATCCCCCTTTTTGGGAATAATAATATTGGATCCTTAATAGAGAGTTTTTCTCAAGCCCCAGGCCTGAGATGTAATTAACCACGAGGGTTTGTACATGTGGGAAATGGAATTCCATAATAAATAAACTCCACTCGAGCTAATGTATCGGGTGGGGGAAACCCCGTGACACTAATCAGGTCATGCATATTATCACACATCGGGGTGCGCTGGCAAGAGCCACTATTCTCAATGGTTAATCGTAAGTAGGATCTAATCTTCCTCCCATTAGCCCGCTTGCAAAGAGCGCGAGGGCCTGTGATCATTTCTATCCCTCGGGGTGGTGTAGTCATATACTCTTTGCACTCTATAACGTGAGCGATGTCCTTTTGGGGGTCCAAAGGTTTTATGGCGACCATGGTGGGATATGTTTCTCTTTTTATCTTTGGATCCTATATTATTCTTTCTTGTGTGTACTCTATAAATGGTACTTCCTAGATTAGGTTCTTCCTACTCTTAATTAGGTTCCCTGCTTAGCTATGGTTTTCTCTAGCTATTGTCCCTTTCCTTCCAACCTTCTAGGCCATTCCACACCTTATTAACTCTCTTTTCTTGTAATCTCAACTCTTACTAATTCTTTCAATTATATATTATTTTGGCAGTAGTGCCATGGCTTCACGTACTTCTTTCGTGACGTTCTACTTTGGCTCGGATGCACAAGTGACTCTCCCCGAGTCTCTACTGACTAGTTTGCCCGTTGGAGGGATCACTCTTGATTCCTTCATAGAATCAGCTTTCATCACTATTGGCGGGCCGACCCAGGTTGAGGCTCCTGCATTCTCTCCTCCCCAGAGGAGAGGATGAGCAGTTATGCACCCTTTTGGATGACTAGTGGCTCGGTGGACATCCCAGACACCTACTCGTCATGCTCCCCTTCTTATGCAGCTAGTGCACCCTATGGTTAGGAAGCTAGTGCCTAGATCACTCCCATTTTCTCTTAATCATCCAGTTATTATGAGACATTTACCTGTTGTACCTATTGTGCAGGCTGCTCTGGCCCCTCAGCGCCGGTAGCCAGTTATTGCTCCTCATATTGTTTCGACGGAGGCAGTTCATATTCGGATCCCCCTCCTTCTTTCTTTAGGAAGAGGGATTCTCAGACCAAGGCTCTTTCACCCTCCACCCATCAGGCTTCTATGTTCGCTCGACTCTCTCACCCTAAGACCGTCGAGCAAATCCTGACACTTCCTGTAGTTCTTGTTCCCCATGTCCCCTAGGTAGTGGGTTTAGATGTACCTTCCTCATCCACCTCTGGCCTTGGGAGAAGGGCCCGAATGAATAAAAATAGAAGACTGCATTTGGCTATGCCTGAGGAAGATAGACTAAGGATGGCAAAGGTAGTGGCTCACCATGAGCCTGTTCAGAGGAGAGTGGTCCCCGTACAGCGGGAGACACAACCAGTTTCGGTTTCGCCTACCCCAGCAGTTATAGTAGCATATGAGATATAAGTAGCCATGGAGGACACTTCTTGTTAAGATAGTTGCTATTTGCATGTTTTACATTTTTGCAACTTGTATAATTTTGATGATTCCAAATATTATTATTCAAATATGTAGTTATCTCCTAACAATTTTAGAAGATTTGTATTTGCTTTTGTGTGTACTAACATTTCAGGTGAAACAAACTCTCAAACACGAAGTCTTCAAATCAAATTCAGCAAGAAATACCTTTAGTTTTTGAAGCTTAAAATTATCATTTTATTTGAGAGGGAGTGATTGTAATTGAGTGAATAAAAACATACACACACACACATAAGGATATCATATAAAATTTATACTGATCATACGGGACGATCAGACAGTTATCTCCTATTAAGATCACATGGAACGAATAGGAAATGGCCAGAAAAATTTTCTAAGTCCTATTCGTCTGGGATGAAATTAAAAATCGTCCAGGACGATTTGCTCTATGTAAGA